GGCGGTGGGGTGAGGGAGGAAAGACGTCGGGAGACCTCTAATAAGTTGCGAAAGGCAAGGAATCAAGACTCAAGAGCAGCGGGAGAGGAGGAGGACGAGGAAAAAAAGGAGCGGGAGGGAGGAGAAATCATGTAAAGAATACATGATAAGATTATTAGTTTTCCCAACATATTCAAATTAAGGGTAAAGCCTCCTAAACTGTTTAGGTGGATAGACAGGTGGATAGACAGGTGGATAGAGGGAGGATTGTGCGTATGATGTGTGAAACAGGGGGGTGTATCTTCGCCCGTGGCAGCTACCCTGCGAAACCCTGCCTTCCCCGATATTTCGGGGCACCCTCATCCAGTCACCCTAGTCAACTTCTCAGTGGATCGCTCAGGTTCCGCACCCACCACCAGCATCCAACGGAATCTGCCGGGTCGACAGCGGCCCAACTCCGTTCCTGGTCGGCTCGCAGGTTAACTTTATCCCAGGTCACCACCGTCCATCAACTAGGGGCGCAATGCCTTCCACCATCGGAAGGACTTTTGACCCTAATGGGTATCGATCCCGGGATCTCCCGGGGGCAATGGTCGCGCCTTACCCGTAGTGCCAAACCCTATATGTGTATGTGTATGTATGTATGTAGAGAATTTATAGCACAATAAACATTCGTAAACTGTTGGATTACGTGGCTAAGAAGCCTCTGATGAAACGCACGCACGTACACATGCACTGGCAAGCATATGCAGAAAGTGTAAAACATACATACATACATACATACACATACAAGCATATGCAGAAAGTGTAAAACATACATACATACACATACATCAGGCAGGCGGCTGGCAGAGGTTAAGGCCTGACTTCTGCTCCCAGTCGACCCAGTCGACCCGGGTTCAAATCCGCCTGCCGGCTCCTCGGGTGTTTGAGGAGTGATGAAATGGGAGGTGGCCCCCCATCTTATGGACGGTGTAGGACGTGATAATATCAACTTGCGAGCTGACCAGGAACTAAGTTGATGCGCCGTTGATCCGCTAGATTTGGTTGGATGCTGGTGGTGAGTTGCCGAACCCAACGAATACATTCTGAAGTCGGATGGGGTGACGGATTAGGGTGCCCCTCTAGCAGGGGAGAGCAGGGACTGCCCCGGGAAAGGGGGCCGCTGGCGAAGTTAACCACCCTGTAACAACATACATACATACACGCACACACACATAACCCGTTGGGGCTTTAGGTGTCCTCCTTGTCTATAGTAGGAAGTCCTAGCTGCACACCGCCTAGTCGCCCTTCGCCACTACAGCGCCTCCGCCTATTTTTTACACGGGTTCTTGACATCGCATCACTCTCCTAATCGATATCTACTGGAAAAAATTCAGCCACGTCTACAACCCCATTGCAAAATTCTAACACGTCGTTGGTAACTATTCGGGTATGAAGTTATCCTCCAGAGCGCCACCATCATTGTCATACATTTCCCGCATCGCGGCTCCGAAGATCGTTAAAGCCACACACGTACACACACATACACACACACACTTCCCGACCCACCCACCTGTGCTCGAGGTCCCCCAGCCCCGAGGTTGGCGTCCTGGCAGCCCCCTCCAGCTCCCCCCCCGTTACCCCCGGGAGCAGGGGCCGCGGGCGGTCGTACATACACACCGTTCTCCGCAGCCAGCCACACGGGCAAGTGGCCGAATATCTCATCCAATTTAGAGGTTTCGGAGCCACTAAAGATGACCACCACGTTGGCAGGGTCCTGAATGAAATGCGTAGGTGGGTAGCGAGGGGTTTTCAGTCACACGCGAAAAGCAAGGGATATGGAGGGGGCAACTTGAACAAGGCACTCCTAATCATACATACATTCATACAGATAAACAGACTCAACCTTACGCGTTTTTCCAGTTACTAGGAATCAACCCCCTCGCGTTGCCTTACCGTGCACAGGGCACACACGGACTGCATGACTCGGGGGTTGACTTTGGCCAGGGCCTTGACCTGCTCGAACTGCCGCTTGGGGAGCCTGCGTGCGTATGTATATGTGTATGTATGTATGTATAGGGAAGGGCGCGTGTGAAAATGGGAGGTTATGGGCGAGCCCGGGGAAGGAGGGGGAAGGCGGGGTGGAGCAGGGACGGGCTAGAAGGGCGCCTTGGGCAGATACGACAGGGCAAGATAGGACACAGGCGTCCTTTCTTTCACACTCATCACACACACACACATACATATACGCCATCAGCCATACACACACACACAAATACATACATACAGGTTCACTGCACTACCTGTTTCCGTAAAATCACTCAATTATCACAAAACCCCTCATTCGCCAGCACCTGGACGCAGAGCAGATCATTAAACCACAAATACACGCGCACATACATACATACATACATACATACACACACGCGCACATACATACATACATACACACACGCGCACATACATACATACATACACACACGCGCACATACATACATACACACGTGCATGACCTCCCCGCCCTGACTCTCCCCCGCCCCCACCTGGGCGCCTCCACACTGGTGGTCAACGTGGCGTTGTAACCCAGTACGACAAGTCTTCTCTTGCTGCTCTGGTAGGCCCGAACCACCTCCTGGACATCAAGCTACGGAGGCAGGGGGGGGGTAGGTGCACGGGTGAAAGGGGGGGAAAGACGAACCACGAGCGAGTGAAGCTGATGCGGCAAGGAAACCCTGCTGCGGGCAGATGTAAAATAAGCATAACTAACCGGGCCGGGGGAAGGGGAGGGGAGATCATATGACGCAAAAGAACAGCAAAGCAATGAAACCCAACGTCTGGTAAAGAGAAGACGGAGGAATCGCGCGATGTGCAAGCAGCAAAGGGACCTTTCTACTGCTGTCTCAGACAAGTTATCAGTTTTCGTCCAAACCACTGAAGAAAGGAGAATGGGAAGAACATATTTGAACAGAACACCGAAATGAAGACATTAATCTATTTCCTACACACACACATACACACACACACATACCCCGTGGGCCAGGGACGAGGGACGAGGGACGAGGGGAGTTCATACCGGACGTGACCCCAGGGGGCTAAAGATAAAAGGGGCTATAGATAAAAAGGGGCTCCAGCTAACCCTGGGAGCTGCATAACCAAGCCAGCCGGACGCTTGACAGCCTACCGGCGGGGGTGTGTGCCTCATCCTCAGATCGGCCTCGATGTGGGTGTCGTTGAGCTCCGTGATGAAAGTATCGGCCCAGTGCTGGGCTGTGTGGGTCTGCGGAGGAGGTCCCGGGGGGGGGAAGGGGTCGTGTGATGCAAAAGAAAAGCAAAGGATTCAACTGCTGATGATGTCCAAAGTACCGCATTATTATTATTATTATTATTATTATTATTATTATTATTATTATTATTATTATTATTATTATTATTATTATTATTATTATTATTATTATTATTATTATTATTATTATTATTATTATTATGAAAGAATGGGAAAGGGGAGAAAAATTATAAGACGATGGTGATGATGATGATGATGATGATGATAATAATGATGATCATGCAAGAAGCAAGGGGTGAATTGCCGACACGCCAGGAGGATCGGGGTGTTAGGGAGGGGGGAATCATCTGCAAGGAATGGAACAAGGAGTGAGTGAACTGCCGGCGTCCAAAAGTTTGAAACTGGAAGGGAGAGGAAATCATCTGCAAAGGGGGGCCCCACATCAGCATGAGCCGCGCGAGTTCGTGTGTGTGTGTATGTGTGTGGGTGTGGGTGTGTGTATGTGTGTGTATGTGTGTGTATGTGTGTGTGTATGTGTGTGTGTATGTGCGTGTGTATGTGTGTGTATGTGTGTGTGTCTGCAGCATAGTCAAGCATCATACAGCATCCAAGAGCCAGGAGGCCCTCATGCTACGGCTACATGCACACAGCCGTACATTTAACAATACAAGAGCCCCATTTACAAAATGCCGTACATGATACGACAGTTCCCTGTATATCAGCCACACGCGTATCTCATTATTAACTATTTAATCATCTACCTACTGATTCATTTATTTGTATTCCAGCAGTACGTGTTAAGCAGTACGAAAAAAATTCGGCGCGTACATCAATGCCGTGTTGTGTTGTGCTAGGCCTGCCCTCTGGCTGGCTATACCTGGCTCCAACGCCCGCACCCACCCCCCACGCCCGCACCCACCCCCCACGCCCGCACCCACCCCCCACCCATCCCACCTGCACGTGCATGTAGTTCTGCCGGTGTCTCTCCCGGCGCTCCTCCTCGCTTATGGACAGGGCGTCGTAGATGGCCTGGGCCACGTCGGAGATATTCCAAGGGTTCACCAGCAGCGCGCCGGCGCCCAAACTCTGATTTGAACAGCGAATTAAAAACCGGAATAATAGGAAAACCTTGTTAACTTTTGCTTGTAAGGTGTAAGGAGTGGTAGTATTTTTTGCTCATTGGAGTGGTAGTTGTTTTTTGTTTAGGTAGTTGCTTGTAAAAGGGTTAGCATTGTTAGGAGAGGGTTTCAGGGCAGGAGAGTATGGCCTAGCCACGGCAGCGTTACCACGGCATATGTATGGAAAGGTAGTATGGAAAGGTAGTATGGAAAGGCTTCACAGGAGTGGAATCCAAATCCCATATCCAAGCAATGTATCGACTGCTGATGTGCTTTAAACGGGAAGACGGGATGTGGCAGATATACATGTACGCGCTGCACTGGAATCCCTAGGAGTTTGAAAAACCTGAGTGAGGCCAGGAAAAGCAGCGTCCTTTTCCTCTCGCCCTCCCCTACCCCTTCCCCGCCACACGCAAGAGAATATATATCCTCTCAAACCACCTTCTTTCTCCCTCTCCCAGCCACAACGCCGGACCGACACCACCACCACCATCCCCTTCTCCTCTTCCTCCTGCTGCTCTCCTCCTCCTCCCTTTCTCCTCCTTACTTGTGCCGCTCCCGCGAACTCCGATAGCACCAGCACCCCCGCGTTGTCCGATTGGCAAGCCACGTACTCGTAGCTGACCTGGGGCGAGGTTGGGGTAAAACCCATTATTATTATTAATGAGCAGGTGGACGCAGTCGGGGGCGTCGGCTGCGCAATGGGAAGAATGGACGAGAAAACGGCAAGAAAACGGCCGTACCATTTGGATATTTGGAGATAGTTCACCTTATTTCGTAAAAAGAATCAATTATGAAAAATGCCAAACCTAGCCAAATCCCGCCAAATTGAATTATTATTATTATTATTATTATTACTATCATATTATTTGTTGTTGTTATTACTATCATATTATTTGTTGTTGTTATTATTATTATTATTATTATTATTTATTCATTATTATTATTGTTGTTGTTGTTGTAAACTTTTTAGGTTAGAAGGCCTTCTCGAGAACAGCCCCAAACCCAGTAGATTGCCCCTCCATAACCCCCCATCCGTCTATTTCTGGTGGTCTGCTTCACTCGCCAGTAACTCGTCTTAACCCCCATTCGTTTTGCATGTTCGTTACCCCACCCCACCCTACCCCACCCCACTCACCCCACCCCACTCACCCTACCCCACTCACCCTACCCCACCCCACTCACCCACCCCATTCCACTCACTCCACCCTACCCCACTCCACTCACCCCACCCCATCCCACCTCCTAGGCCCCAGTCATCCCTAACACTCCCACTCCCGGCCTTACCAGGTTCATTCCATCCCTCAGCGAAGTCACCAGAGCCACATCGGTCACGGCGTACAGAGCACACAACTCCGTGAAGGACAGGGAGGTGTCCAAATGGAAGATGGGAACGTACGTCAGAGTGCCGTACTGACCGTTGATGCGACCAACGATCTCATGAACCATGCTGCAGGCAGCCGGGGACGGTTTCGGGGTCGGTGTGGGGACGGCTTGCGTTGTACGGAACGTACGGAAGAGAAAAACAGCACCGGACAAGACGAGGACATTCGGAGCATGCATTTGTAGGAGGCCGTGGGTTTTGGAGCGGGTCGGAAAGAAGACGCGGCGTGCTGCAAAACACAGCTTTCAGACCAAGAAGTGCGCTAAACCTAGTACAATGCGCACGTGACCTGGAGACACGCTCGTACCTGCGCAGCTTCTGGTACTCTGGCACGTCCGTACGAGACGGTACGGCAATCTGTACGAGCAGTACCTGCACATTCACAACAACCAATTCAGCGTAGTAGGTCCGTAGGTTTTTTTATGACGGGTTTCAGCGAGATGCTCTGACAGCCGCTGCACGTGAGGAAGAGAGGTTGCCCCTGCCCTGGTGCGCGCCCCACGGCCTCCCCCCTTAAAACCCCCCTAAAACCGTAAAAGGACAATAACAAAACAAAACACACACACCATGCCGCCAGCATGCATCACTCGACGCGCGGTGTGCCGCTACTCCCCGCATGGCCCCCCCCCTTCACTCCTCACATCAAAAACCCCGTGACCTTCTCAACCCCATGGGGCTCCGTGCATCCTCCTCCCTCCCCTCGGAACAAAAGATTCGCAGGGGGGATATTGCCGCAAGAACTCCATTTCTTCACACCACACCCACTCCCGAAAGGCGCCATACATCCCAGCCCCCGAAAAGTTCACATCGCTCTAGCCACACACACACACACACACACATACACATACACACACCCCGAAATCTCAATGACTTACCCCCAAAAGCTCATTAATCCACCGCGCCTGGTTCCGGGGGTCATCTTCCCAAGGAAAACCCAAAGACACACCTGGACTCGCGTCTTTCTTTTTCCACCTCCCCCCAACCTAAACCCCCCTTACACAGAGTTGGTGCTTTCGGTAGCTGATGACGGTAGCTGCTTCATTGCCTAGGATATCTCACGCGATTTCCCCCCACCCCCCTGGACTTCCCCCCACCCCCCCCACACACGCATACACACACACGTAGCCCCTCTTACCTTATCCCGCCATTCCGGGCGCTCTTCTAGAAACTTCTCATACGCCAACAACTTCTGCGGAATGCCCTTGACCATGTCTAGACGGTCAACGCCCAGCATGATCTGGGCGGAAACCGGTTTCGGAGCGCCAAGAGAGCGCGGGAGTGGTAGCAGTTTTGGCAGCGTAAGATCAAGGCCGGCAAGGGAGGAAAGAAGGCACGAGCGGGTATGCGGGCATGCAAATATGACGAAGGTAATTTCTTCCTATCGGTCACTCCTATCGGCCACTCAGAAGAACGGCGACAGGGCAAAGACTGGGCACAGCCGTGTAGCCAATGCCGGTGGTTGTAAGCGCGGCGATGGAGGAGGGACGGCATGAGCGGGCATGGCAGCGGACAGAAAGCAGCCCGTCTAGCCCGCGTGATGTGGCGGAGCGGAGAGAGACGGCCGTGAGCCAGCGGGTGTTGTGCCGAGAGTAAATAGCGAAATTCGTAGAAAATTTTTAAAAAATTAGGAAAAATTAGGAAAAAATTTAAAAAAGTAGAAAAAAGTAGAAAAAAATGGTCTGCATGCGGACGGGGGAACCCCGGCTTCCCACGGTCCCTCGCGCACGTTACCTTGCGCCCCGCGTATCTGTTGAGCAGCTTGGCGGTCTGGCTCTGCACTTCCTCGCTCTCCAGCGCTCGGGCGAACCGTTCCGGGTCGATGCCGATGGGGAAGGTGCCCACACGCGTCAACACGCCGTTGTTCTCGACACCTTTGGTTTGTGCAAAGGCCGCGGGACACGAGAGTGTTTAGCATGGCGGCCATGACGAGGGTAAGGGGGTGACGAGGGTAAGGGGGTGACGAGGGTAAGGGTGACGAGGGTAAGGGGGTGACGAGGGTAAGGGTGACGAGGGTAAGGGTGACGAGGGTAAGGGGGTGACGAGGGTAAGGGTGACGAGGGTAAGGGTGACGAGGGTAAGGGGGGGTGACGAGGGTAAGGGTGACGAGGGTAAGGGTGACGAGGGTAAGGGGGTGACGAGGGTAAGGGTGACGAGGGTAAGGGTGACGAGGGTAAGGGGGTGACGAGGGTAAGGGGGTGACGAGGGTAAGGGTGACGAGGGTAAGGGTGACGAGGGTAAGGGTGACGAGGGTAAGGGTGACGAGGGTAAGGGTGACGAGGGTAAGGGGGTGACGAGGGTAAGGGTGACGAGGGTAAGGGTGACG